GTTATTTTTGTTATCAGTGTTAAGTGGGTGCGTGAAACATTCATTCCTCTACTTATCAGATATTTTCGGCGGTTTTTATTTCAAATTTGTTCTATTCTTGTAAGAATCAAACTCAACATTTCAAGGAACATAACTCTATTATGGATTATGCGTCAGACGGTGGGAAGCGAGGAGACAGGGATATCCTGGACCGACGTGAAGAACCTAGAAGACCTGGATTTCGCGGATGATTTATGTTTGATGTCACACAAAATCGAAGACTTACAAGCGAAAACCGATAAACTGGTCGAAGAAGCAGCCAGAGAAGATAGGACTGCAGGTGAACATAGACAAGACGGAGGTTATGAAAATAACCAGCCAACAACAACAAAAACAACAGCAGCATCCAGCGCCAATAACCATCAATGGGAGGGATTTGAAAGAGGTTACTTCATTCATTTATCTAGGGAGCATTGTCTCAACTACAGGAGGAATGGACGGACGAGGGTGTCAAATCGAGAATCGGGAAGGTGAGAAACACATTCATCCACCTGAAACTAATCTGGAAATCTTCGTCACTCAACTCAGCATCAACAACAAAATTCGGATTTTCAATACAAACGTCAAGTCAGTCAGTTCTTCTATACGGATCAGAAACTTGGCCAGTGTGTCACAAAGAATATTTCCAACAGCCTGTTGCAGACCTTTATCGACAACTGTCTTCGCTCTGTACTGAAGATGACTCTGCCCCACCCACCTTAATTTGTGGTTGTGTGTTAATGCATGCATGCAGTGCGATTGCTGAGATTTTCTCGAAATTATTTATCTTCGTTGGATCAATCAAATCTTATATCGATTTTATTCAAATGTCTAATCAATGTTTACTCATGTAAATAAATGAAACAAGAAAGTTGTGTGAGTACATCCTGATATGAATTGTGAGCAGCGATTAATTGTGCTCGGAACGTGGTCATCAGTAGATATTACTGTATAACACTGTGTGATTTTATCAAAAAAATTTTTTTATTCATATTGGAGTTACACTCTATCATAGTCCCCAAGTTTTATCCTTATTTCAGGGAACATGTTATAGGCGTTGTTCAGATTCATTTCACAGTTAGGTTTGTAGAATTTACTTGATGGAAAAATATAATTCTTCGAAAGGTTTATACTAAAAGATGGAAGTAAAATCCGAAACACTTGGAAGGAAACCAGTTTTTATCTGTCTAGCGTACAAATAAGGAGAAGTATCCACAAAAACCAAAAAAAGAATTAATGTTCCGCGGCTAGATTTATTCCACTTTACAACACGGTAGGCTTGTTAGCTCAGTTAAAAGTAGATAAGTTTCCCGCTTAGGTCAACAGCATTTAACAGTTCACTTGTGGTAGCAAGTATTTTTTTAGAATTTTGATTATAGCTTGAAACCACACAGTATTTTTGATACAAGTATGGAATTTTCAGCATGTTATATCGGTAGCCGAGATTTTGCAGGCCGACCATAGATATCGGGTGTGCGTCGGCAGGGGATCGAACCCTGGGCTATGTGGTATGGCCGGTGAGAGTCCTAACCGCTGTGCCACCGACGCGGCTGAGAGGAGAGCGTCTACTAGATTTCTTGAGCATATCCCTAAAAGTTTCCGTAGGAAAGGTAGAGAAGTGTTCCTAAGTGCAATTGCCAGACACCTAATTGTCACGGTGTCGATCCCCACCCGACGCACCCCTTTACTTCGCTAAGCCAGAAATAATGCTGGTGAAGAGGAAAGGTTGGGCATGAGGCTAACAACCCAATCCTGTAAAAATAAACACTGCTACAGAAACTTCAAGTCGCTAGCTTGAAGACCTATGTTTCACTGGGGAACGTGAAGGAAAAAAAATAATTGTCACGGGACATACAGTAGAAATTAGTTAGGCTTTCAAAATAATCAACACACAACACAAAGAAAACCACGGTTACTTCAGTCGTTGCTATCAAAAGACCTTGACCCAACCTCTGTGTATACAGAAAGACTGTGTAACTAATATCTCACTACCCTGGTAACTGTACTTGTTTTGTTCATGTGCTTTTGTGTTTTGTTCTGTTGCATAACATTTCCACCTTAGTTTGATTTTGATTTTTACTTACTGAGTTGAACTCACTATTGGGTTTCCAAATTTACTTAATTGTTTGCCTTTGTCATAATTCTACTTTACTAATTACTCCCACCCTCTTAAACTCTCCACCATAATATGTATAAGTTCACTCTCTGTTTCTGTTTTGTATTCTGCCTCTAGTTAATCCTTATTTCCGGGAGAAATCTGAACTCTACCCCCTGTTGTCTAATTATATTATAAATGGTTGACCTTCCTACTTACATTACCCTTTGGAATTATGTTGCTAATACTCTCCATGTATAACTCGGATCCACTGTGAAAAAGTATATTCGACGAAGTTAAACTAAAGCAGCCACTCTGGTAGATCACCTTCGAGAATCAACTGGAATTACCGGTGGTATGACCAAATCAAATTATACCTCCTGGATTTCATGGAAGGTTGAGTGTTAGACAACTGTACGAATAATGGATTAATTGGAGTTATTAAGACATGTATATGTAAGGGGGTGCTTTACGATGATTGGGATTTCTGGAGAGATGAAAGACCAAAATCGAAAACATAATCCAAGTATCAGAACACCTAGTTCTGTAGTCATCTTTTCAATTTTGTGTGTGATTTTATTACACATTTATTCTTATTAGTTTCCCAAAGTCAGGGGTCAGGTCAATCGAGAAAGCTACTATAGTTAAACTTAGTTGTATGTTCGAACATTTTGTAACTCATAATTTGATTTTGTCTGGGATGTACGCAGTTGAAGAGAAATAAGACGAGCTCGTACTACTCTACGAATATGTTCCTTCTTTATTTGTTCAAGCTAATAAAGGGAACCGGTTGTATGAAATAAAGACTGAGTTTCACTCAGTCAATTGTAATTAGATTTTGAACATGCCTCCATGATACATTTGTGTTTGCGTCACTGATGTGATGGTAGAATGCTCGCTAACCACGCGGCATGTCTGGGTTCGATTCTCCGCACTCCCAAACCTTGCTTAAGGTTAAGTAAACCTAGAAAAAAAGAGAAGGTTGTGGACACGAGGCTAAACAACATCACATGGAACGCTTGGGGACGGAAAGAAATTCTTCATACGATAAGACAAAAAAGCAAAACCTTTCATCCAGATCGTTGACGGTTAACCATCGATTTTCTTACTAATTCAAAGATCAAGTAAAATGGCGCATAAACACAGTTTGTTTTATCCTTCACGTTCCCCAGTGGAACATAAGGCTTCAAGCTAGTGGTTTGAAGTTTCTGTAGCAGTGTTTATTTTACAGGATGGGGTTGCTAGCCTCATGCCCAACCTTTCCTCTTCACCAGCATTATTTCTGGTTTAGTGAGGTAAAGGAGTGCGTCGGTCGGGGATCGAAGCCCGAACCATGTGCATGGTCGGCGAGCGTCCTAACCGCTATGCCACCGACGCCTGCATAAACACAGTGGTTCCTACAAACCGTAATAAAGCGATTTATACTGTTCATTTTAGCGGAGTTGTATTCTTTGACTTGGATGGTTTATTTGCGAAGCTTTCATTGTCGTTTTAGACAATAAACTATCCAGCTCAATGAATACAACTACACCCGTATCATCTGTCTGAGCCTAAGGATCTTCATTATTTCTTAATGTGTTATTGATTTATTTTTTTGTGAATTAATTTACTATCATCACCGATAACTCGAAAATGGCGTGAGATTAAGCTTTTCATGTCAAGCACAAATCCTTCCGAACATGTCCACTAAAAGATATGGAAGCCTGTCACTGTGTTCTCCCAATGTTTAAGCATTTACATGCAGACATAGGTTGATGACTGCAGCTGAAGATAATATTTGACAGTTATTTAATTTCGTTTAATTGTACAACTGAAAAGATGCTAGACAACTTTCTACTGATTGCACGCTTTAACGTTTAATTAACTCAACCTACATGATGTACATAGTTTGTTGCTCAGACCTATCTTTCTCGGCTGTAGAATGTAGTTCAGTCAGCATACTTCTAGACATCTCTAAGGGTTAGCATTTCTCGAAAACACTTTGTGATTGTTTGTCTACTCTTATTCCAGTTTATTAATGAAGCAAAATGTTAAAACTTGGTAGCGGAATGCTTCTAACAGGCATCTATCTTTATGTGTAACGTATTAAAAGCTGTAGAAAGCCTTGATATTACTCATCCTAGGTTTATTTCCATATCTTACAGAATGATTTGTAGAAGAATTTAGTAATTATCATTATATTATTATTGTTCCCTTGGGTTCCTAGTGGAACATAGGGATTCAAATGCACGTCTCAACTTGCTTCTGTCTTCTGCTGTACTTTTCACCTGCGTCCATGTTAATCCATACTGTTTCAGCTCCTATTCACACGATCTCCTCCATGTCACTCTTGGACGTCCCACTCGCCGCTCACCTTTCAGGTTCCACTCGAGCTATGGCCTGACGCGCGATGTCACCCAGCGGCCTCATCAGCGAGTGTCCAATCCATCTCCACTTTCTCTTGCATATTTGTTGGGCGATTGGTTCTTGTTTTGTTTGTTCCCATAGTAGAAGAATTTAGAAATGATGATAGTATATCGTTAAGTGTAAAAGGATGTGATTCTTGTGATCTTCTTCAGCCTTCGATATTTTTCTTCGTTGCCGTTTCTAATTGGCTAAATGAACAGCTGTTCCTTAACACTTCGGTGCTAGACAGTCATTCTAAGTGTGTTACTTTTTAAATAGTGAACTTGTCTGCAAACAAGGCGGTACTGTTTCACCTATATCAGGGTTACTAATTACCTAATCCATTCATCAATAAGTGTAATAATTTCATAGTGATTGACTTTATTTTAAAATTTTCCTTTTGAATACAAGGAAATAATTTTGTACCATTGAACACTTTACATGCTTGTATACATCTTCTAACTTCTGGGTTTTTGTATTTTCTGTTTGTGTTCTTATGTAGTCCTACAAAAATGGGCTTACTGGATCCAGCTACACGTGATGGTCGTGTCATTTTCTTTTTACCATGGATGAATTTTGCACTGGCTGGTACAACTGATTCTGAATGCGCTGTTTCTGATCAACCTTCACCATCTGAAGCTGAAGTGAATTTCATTCTTGAAGAAATTAGCAGTTATCTTTCACCAGAAATACAAGGTAGATTGCTTTTTTCTCTTTTCTCTAAAACCTTTTGTTTACTCGATCGTTTTTTAAAGTCTAATATATCAATCTGTTGAAATTGTACGCTGCGACTACTCCTCGTCTTAAAGACTTCATTACTCGAAGTCATCCTTGTCCGCATATATATAAGTGATCAGTGTTATTTTGTATATATATATGAGCTTGGCAATCTAGTTGCACATACAGATCCCCAACATGCATCATTAACGATTTCATATTTATTTTTCCTTATTGGTAGTTCGTCGTGGCGATGTACTTTCAGCATGGGCAGGTATTCGACCACTTGTTCGTGATCCAAATTCTTCTGATACTCAATCAATTGCACGTAATCATATTATTGATGTTTCACCGTCAAAACTGATAACAATTGCTGGAGGAAAATGGACAACTTATAGAAATATGGCAGAAGAGACTGTAGATAAGGCAATCGAGGTAATACATCCTTATTTTCTAATATATATAAATTTTTGCTTTACAAGTCAAGTAATAATTCCACTTTTCTGAACGATGATACAAAATTTAAGCGGTGGAATCCAGGATGTACATTTCGTTCTATTTAGGACTCGTCATCTGGGTGTACCTGCATTCCCGCACTGAGTGATGATGTTCCCACCGGGGCTCGAACCCTGTCATGTCAACCTAAGACGAAGCACTTCGGTTCAATCAGTCGACGGGAAAATCTAAAATTCAGTTAGATGATGCAAAATACTATTATTTTGTAAAAGATACTTTTATTCCTCTTGTTATTATAGCTACCTGATGTGAATTAGCCTATTTTTATAAATTATTCTACTCATGTAGCGTAAATGATGCATTAGTATTATTATCTGACTGATTGATATGTGCCAAGATAAAAATGAAATTATTGATTTCACTGCACTCCAATTGATTGAAGCAAAATAACGAAGGGTTTATGTGTCTACTAGAACGTCGTTTCATTGAATACAGTGAGGCTAAGTATACAATTTGCAGTGGTACATATCAGCTAATGAGTCATGGGAAGATTTATTTCCAAGATAAAAGTCAAATGTTACCGAACAGACAGTTATTTCCAACCAATGAATGGAATTCTCTGGTGGTGAAGTGTTAGCTAACTACCCTGAATTCCCAGGCTCAATTCCCGCCTGAAGAACTTCCACTAAACCTTACCTATCCGGTAGTACTCCCTATTTGTGCCCTATGTTTTAATTACCTTTTTCAGAAGGGTGGGGCTGAATGTTTCAATCACTGTTTTCCCAACTATCCATGAATGTATCTACCACTATTTTGGATACTGGCGACGCATTAGCAACTCCCTCAGTTTGTTTGTTTGTTTATTTTTCCTTGGAATTTAAATATTGTAGAAGTGATGCATAGCTATACTGTTAGAATATTATGACTTGTAGTGGCTTTTTTGCTCTAAGTTCAAGTTCTTCTATAGTCATATACTCATTCCACCCTGTGTAAGTAAAGAAGGAATTGGTGAAATGTTTAAGTAAGTACCAACGAAAATCTAAGATAGGAAGTGAGGCGTATAAGAGATGCTTTAAAACTAAGTAATTACCCTGATAAATGAATCAGGAAGTATGTAGGAAGGTGTAAAAATAAAATCAATAATAATAGTAATAATGACGACATGCATGTCAAACATGCACACGATAATGACAACACTAACAATAAGGAATTTAAATCACCAGTAGTACTTCCATACAAAGAAGGAACCTCGGAAACCTTAATGAGAATTCGTAACAATGCAGGAATAAAGGTGGCATTCAAACCCACGAACTCGCCTAGAAACAAGCTTTGTCGGTTAAAGGATCCTGTGAAGCCTTTAAAACAAAACCATTTAGTTTATCTAGTACCCTGCAATGATTGTCAGGTCAAATACATAGGTCAAAGTAGTAGAACAGGGGCAGTCAAACTAGTCGAGAATAAAAACTTTACAAAATCTAGATTAGTAGACACTAATAAGAAAAGAAATCTGAAGAATAGTTCAGTTGTAGCACCACATGCAATTACACACAACCATACAATGGGATGGAATAACATGACAGTTCCAAGGTCTAATATGCCAGGGTGGAGGGAGAGATGGATAACAGAAGCTTTATTCATCGAATCAACTGAAAATACGTGTAATAGAAATTATTCAGCAACTATCTCGGACACCTGGGGAACTCTACTACCCGTGTGATGAATGGTAAGGAATAAAGAAAACCACAAAATGAAAGTTTCGAAGTTGTGTGTTTACAGTTGATATGGTTATGAAGAATAAATTGTGTTCAAAACTCCTGCTTGAACTACTGAGCTACCGAAATTGTTTTCCACCAATATGGCTAATTTCATCTGGATTTACCATTCTTTTAATCATTCAGTCATATCATATGACCTAAGCATGAACTTGCGCGCTGATTTAACTTGATTCCAAGTAAACGCTGTGCAGTTTGACGAAATGAGGATATGTATACATCGGATTATTACTTTACATGTAAATCCTGTATGAAGAAAAAAGTATTTTGGAATTAAGTACGCTGAAAAGTTTTGTACCATGTGTTTGCATATTGTCTGAAATAAAGCTTTTTTATTATTATTATCCAGGAAATGATACTGTTCCTCTGTTTGGTATGTCTAATAAACGAATTCATACGGAATTACATACTACTATAGTGCCCAAGTTTTGCACATATATTAAGATGTTTATTTCCTCAAAATCACAGCTAACTATTTTACTGTATTACTGATTTTCAAGTCACTGTTTTCGGTAAATACTAAATTTTTTGAAGCTCAAGCTAATAGGTAATAGGTCGGTCTAGAATGGACAACGTATTAATATGTGTCTGTGTGTATTATTATTATTGTTTCCTTGAATTCCTAGAGGAACATAGGTCTTCAGCCGTGCCCCTCCATTGCATTCGGTTCTCTGCTAGAGTTTTCACCTGGCTCCAAGTCTGTCCACACGTTTTCATCTCCTCTTCACAAGACCTATTCCAAGTCACCCTCACACTGACGACCAACTCGCAGCTTCCCTTTCGGGTTCCACTCGAACAATGGTTTGTCTAGTGATGTCACTTCGTAGTTTGTTTCCTCAGAGTATGGCCAGTCAATCCATCTGCATTTCTTCCTGCCTATTTGTTTCACAATCGGTTCCTGGTTGGTTCGCTCATTGCCAGAGATCCCTGTTGCTGATCTTTTCTGGCCATCTGATCTTGAGTATTGAGCGAAGACAGATGTTAATGAAGGTCTGTAGTTTGTTTGAGGTGCTCTTTATGACGCGCAGTGCAAGTGTCTGATCCGTATTGGAGTTGAAAATCCGGATCTTATTTTTGACGTTGAATAAAGCAAATAAATAAGAAATTTTTTCATGCCGCATTCCTTGTTGGGTCTGTAATGTATACTAATAAGTAGTTCCAAAGTATCACGAATTGCTTTGAGTATTGGCTAAATGACACAATTTACTAACGAACACAGAAGCTTGTGGAGTATCTGAAATTCATGTCTTTTCGAATCGCTTTCAGTTTTGTTCATATAATTTTGATTTGTCCTCAAAATGTCATCCACACACATAAAAACTGTTTTATATCAAACAAACAATTCTACTTATGGCCTTTATTCACCCTTAAATTTAAGAATATTCCACTGCTTGCAATTTAACAATATCTCTACTTTAATCATACTTTTATTATTTAATCATTCCAACTTCATGTGCAGTGTAGACATCATGTTCCTTTCTTTAATGCTTTATTCTATTCGTCTAAAAACGAACTGGTTTTTTTCACTTAAAGAATATGAAGCATTATGTCACAGTGATTACTTATACACTTTACTATATTCAGATTGGGTTGTAAGCGGGAGGCATAAACCGTATGAAACAAAATGAATTCATCTGAAACTGAAAATGCTGTTTTCCTTGCATCGATAGAAGCATCAAAGATAGGTGAATATAGAGAAAACATAGGTAATGAAGATTCTTGGACAAGAACAACAACAACAACAGACAACGATTAGCATAAGTGGAAGGAACCTGCAAGAAACAACCTCTTTTACCTACCGACCTGGAAGCATCGTCTCAACTACAGGCGGAACTGACGAGGATATCAAAGCAAGAATCGGAAAAGCAAGACAAGCTTTCACTACTCTCAAGTCTGTGTGGAGGTCAACAGCACTCAGCATGAAAAATAACATCCGGATTTTCAACTCCAATGTGAAGTCAGTGCTACTCACTATACGGATCAGAGACTTGGCGCGTCATAAAGAGCATCTCAAACAAACTACAGACCTTCATTAACAGTTGTCTTTGCTCTATACTTAAGATCATATGGCCGGCCAGAAAAGATCAGCAACAGGGATCTCTGCGAGCGAACCAACACAGCAGGAACCGATTGTGAAACAAATAGGCAGGAAGAAATAGAGATGGATTGACCATACTCTGAGGAAACCATCAAGTGACATCACTAGACAAGCCATTGCTCGAGTGGAACCCGAAAGGGAAGCGGCGAGTTGGTCGTCAGTGTGAGGGTGACTTGGAGGAGGTCATGTGAATAGGAGATGAAGGCGTGGAGGCAGACTTGGAGCCAGGTGAAAACTCTAGCGGAGAACCGAACGCAATGGAGACGCGCGGCTGAAGCCCTATGTTCCTCTAGGAACTAAAGGAAACAATAATGATAATAATTGCATCGATGGTCCAGTGATGGAATACTTGCTAACCACACATCTAGTTCGGGTTGAATTCCCGACATACTTACTTCTAAACCTCACTTAACAGGTGGTAGTAAATCCAGTTTAGAGGAAAGGTCGGGCGTGTGAGACTACAAGCTCCACTCCGTGAAAAGAAAACCCACAGAAGTCTGAAGGCCTTCGTTCGTTTCACTCGGAATGCAAAGGAATCGGAGTGAACAAAAAATATTCCTGTTTTCAAATTTTCAATTAGTCTTCATTATTAGTAATTTCTCATTTTAATTCAAAATATTAAAAAAAACATTATAACTTTAACTATGACAGATCATATGTGTTTTCCCTTTTTTCTTTTGTCATTATTTACAAACAGGTGTGTGGTCTTAAACCAAAAAGTCCATGTCGTACTAAAGGTCTACTCTTAGAAGGTGCTCATAATTGGTCACCGAATTTATTTATACAAATTGTTCAAGAATATGGTATGGATGTTGATGTAGCTCGTCATTTAACTGGTATCTATGGTGATAAAGCCATAACTATTGCAAATATGTCAAAATTAACTGGTTTTAGATGGCCAATATTGGGTAAAAAGTTACATCCTGAATTCCCTTTCATTGAAGCAGAAGTAAGTTGATGGTTTTGTCTTCCTATAAATTTGTTTTTATATAGAGGAATTACCCATTATGTTATTCACTAACATCCATTTCTTACTCCAATACTCAATTTTTAATGATGTATTAAACATGTTAAGGTAATAATTCGGAAGGACATAGGTACATTTTCATAAATCAATATTTGCTTGCCACTCAACGACTTTCCCCCACAAAGTCTCAGAGACTACCCTAAGCGAACTATCGTAGACAGCTTCCACTTGATCTCTCAGTGGCGATCCCAGCACAGTTGTCTTCGACGTCGGATCATGGATGCTCACCAACTCATTAACTTCTTCGAAACGCCGAGAGCAGAGACACTAAATGTAGTGGCAGTATGCATTAGTATTTGATAGCAGAAGTGTTTGTTTGGCAAAACGGTGTACAGTTATGGCAAAATTCAGTAACCTAACACTGAAAGGTCCATTTGCACATGTTCTCCGTACTGTGTTTCTTTTGTCTTCTTTTCAAGCTTTCTATATTGTTTCATAAGGATCCATCATTTCTTGTAGAAGACATCACACACAATATACTACTTACAGAATTTTATCAGTAGCTTAATGTGGTCCATCATTAATTACTAGCTATAAAGCATGACGCAGTACTCCAGTATACACAACAATGTTTCCTGCTGTTGTCTTTAAATTCAATGATTTAATGTTCAAAAAAGTCTGTTAAAAATACATCTTAGCTGAAAAGACATTTAAAAGTTTCCTAATCACCACCGATGTAAATTATCCTAGTTGTTATTCAAGTATTGGTTTGTAGGGATTTGATTGATTGGTTACAGGATTTCATCATGAGCTAACATCGATTAGAGAACCATTGGAAAACCTTCAGGGAGTACTAGACAGCTGTTTCTTCCTGGTTTAAAACTCTCCAGTGGTACGCATCTACCACCAGGGTTTGAACCCAGGACCTTCTGGTTACGAGGCGAGCTCGTAGACCATTAAGCCACTGGGACTCGATCCAATGGCCAGCCCATGAATTCTAACTTCTGCCAATTCACAACATAGCGCGACCGCTACTAGTTGTACCTTCCACTTTGTACAAGCAAATAGTTTTCTTGTTGGTTAATTTGTTTCTGTAGAATAAGTTGATCCACTTTTACAGAACTCACCATAATTTCGTTTTACCGTTTATTATTATTATCTATTTTAGGTTGAATATGCTTGCCGAGAATATGCTTGTCATGCAGTTGACTTTCTTGCTCGTCGTACTCGTTTAGCCTTCTTAAATGTTCAAGCAGCTCAAGAGGCTTTACCAAGAATTGTTGAATTAATGGGTCAGCATTTAAAGTGGAGTAATGAAAGAAAAAAACAAGAAATGAAAGAAGCGGAAGTGAGTATCTATTTTGTTTCTGTGTTTTAATAAAGCGAGTTAGTTGGAAACTTTGGTCAGTCATTGAACTTCATTTCAAAATGTAAATCCTTAAGGGATTTTCAGTCATTGTGTTTACACAAGTATGTATTTTGTTAACTTTTTGTCTTTCTTTCGATGTATGACGAGATTAATTTGGAAATGGAAAGTGTTCAGTTTAATACTTTTTTCTTGAGGAAATAGTTCCTGTAATTTCTTAGGAACCTCCTTCGTTCCCTTATCTATCAGTCACTTTTTCCCATTCTTTTGGAAAATAGGGTTTTAAGCTTTAAACTTGGGAGCTTCAGTAGGTGTGGTGTCGTTCTTACAGCGTGTGGTTGCTAGCCTCACAACCAACCTTCCTCCTTTCCCTTGCTTACTGCCGGCTGGGGCAGAAATTGAACCCTAACCAGCTGCGTGGTTATCGAGCATTCTATCACTGAGTCACTGACATACATCGACTACTTTAGGGAATTATACTATGGGCTATGAATCTAGCATTTTTTTAAATCACCTATACTTTTAGTTAGTGTGATTTACATTGGTGGTTATTAAATAAAGTTTATCGTGTACTACTTATTTTAAAACAAGCAGCAACTGTGAAAAAGGCAGTATTTAATGGATTAAAAAGTTTCAAAACTTCATGCAATTCTTCCCAAGCAAGAACAACAATTGTACCAGGAAAATATGAGCTCATCTTTTATTATTTCGAGGATTCTTCTCAACTGGTTACAACCTGAACTATAAAAAATATGAATTACAATTACATTAAAGATTTGAACATTATTTCCCACGATCACAAGGAGTAATTGGTAGGAAGTAAAAGTAACATTAGTCCTGAATGACAAAAAAAAATATACAACAGCTTGTTTTTTTTCCAAGCCTAATTGCTTAATTATTTTATAAATATTTATAAACTGTCAAATATTGATGAAAGTTCATTTGAATTATTCTATAAATAGTCAGTTGTTTGTAACTCTTAATTAGTTAAATCATTCCGGACTAATGTTACTTTTACATTTACTTCCTACCAATTACTCCTTGTGATCGTGGAAAATAATGTTCAAATCTTTAATGTAATGTAATTCATATTTTTCATCGTTCAGGTTGTAACCAGTTGAGAAGAATCCTCGAAATAATAAAAGATGAGCTCATATTATCCTGGTACAATTGTTGTTCTTGCTTTGTTCAAGTTTATTAAAAAGTTTCAGTAGAACTCTTCAGCTGAATACTTTACAAACATCGTTACTTGTACAATTTTCTTAGGTTAACTACATACAAACACATGAACATTATGTGATGACAACAAATAAGTATCGACTTGAACAAATATACGATCCAAAAATAGTGAGAGATAATCTGTTAACGTCATTATTAAGTGAATACTATTCATCAAAGCAGATATTAACAAATAAACTGGAGTTATTGTGGTTTGAATTCATACATTTATAAACATCTAGATATGATAATATTGAAATACAGGGAAAATTTGTGAAAAACACATAGGATTAGACAACAAGATTTTAACATGTCTGATCTAAACTCATAAGGCGGTTTGAACACTCCTCACCAAGATTAATACTCAACTATGATTTTTCGATTTGTACATATCCTAAGTATGTCAGATAAAATAATGATGATAATAATAATAGTGAAAAAAACACTTTAGAGCGAAGAGGGAAGGGAAGGAATATTGTAAAGGTAAAATAAAAGTATACTACCAAGGTAGATTTAAGCTATCTGCTGTCTCCTTTTGTTCACCTAGATCTGGCTTCTTTAATCTGATTGTGCAGGCTTCAGTAAAACCAAAAGCTTTTCTTATTACTTTGCTTTTACTCAACGTCACGTCGTATGGTTACAGTCCAATAAATGTCGTGTGATAATTGAATTCCTTGGGATGCTATCATGAGTACTAAAAAGCCATTTAAGGCAGTGTTCGGATTTTTCTTAAACTCATAAATTTTGTTGTGTGAATTTCAGTCGTACATTTTGATATATAAAATATAATTCATCAGTACAACAAATATTCATTATAACAAAGGTTTTTGTATTTCCCAATGAATGAAAAACAAAACGATATTGTTGTTTTTACTGACGTTTCGCCATTTAATGCTTCTAATAGCCTTATCAAAGTATCATTAAACCGGAATTTACAAAATCTCAGCATATATATAACAAAGAGTTAAGAGGTGAGAGAATTGACTTAGATCGAGTTAAAAGGACAAACTGAAAGTCAAAATAACAATGAAGATCACTAAACCAAATAACAAAGGTAATAGTACATCTGTTATGATATCAAAACAAAGTTTACTAACTTGATCATTGTTCGTCAGTCTGGGGTCATTTTTCGTTGTCAAGTTGGTCAGTTGGTAAAGATAACAAAACCAAGTGTGTAAAATTATAAAAGCAGTGTGTGCTTGCATAGTGAACTTGCTTATCACATTCGTGTTGATTTTGTCACTTCATGGGGGAGGGAGGTGTTGTAACCAGGTCAGATTCTGTTTTACTCCATCATTCCTATTCAGACAATTTGGATTCCACTTAATATGAAGTTTTCTGATATAAGACGTTCTTTGTGATTTCTGAAGTTTTTCTGGATTATTTCAATATTGTCAAAATCAATTTTGTGGCCTGATTCTATAGCGTAGCGTGTAGACCTATGGCTGATGATTTTTCAAGCTTTTATAGTTCAACCGGATTTCTCGTTGGTCGAACAGATGCTGTAGGGTGTTCATTTCTTCTGATTTTGATTTCTCGAGATGTTGAGATTTTGTAAATTCCGGTTTAATAATACTTTGATAAAGCTATTAGCATTAAATAGCGAAATGTCAGTAAAAACAATATCGTTTTCAAGTGTTGGTTTGTCGGGATTTGATTGGTTACAGGATTTTCATCATGAGCTGACATTAGTTAGAGAACCATTAGAAAACCTGGGAGTACTGGACAGCTGTTTCGTCAGCCTAGTTTGGGTCTCTTCATCAGTATGCACCCACCGGGATTCGAACCCAGGACCTTCTGGTTACAAGGCGAGCTCGTATACCATTAAGCCACTGGGACCCAATCCAATGGCCAGTCCATGAATTCTAACTTCTGCCAATTCACGACATAGCGCGACCCCTAGCCAATGTTTTCGGCGAGTATTTATCCTCACACCCGACCTGCTGCACCCTACTGGTCACGACTCCCAGGTTTTCCAATGGTTCTCTAACTAATGTCAGCTTATGATGAAAATCCTGTAAACAATATCGTTTTGTTTTTCATTCATTGGGAAATGTAAAAACTTTTATTATCATGAATATCATATACCCAATGCCCAAATTTTTTCAAACTGTTAAAAGTGAACTTGGTTTGGAATTATACAGGACAACAAATAGTTTAAATAAAACCACCTATTTGTAAATAGTTTTAACATATGAATGGTTATGTGATGAGGAATTCATTTTTAAACATTTAGGTCAGTTCTAAAATAAAAGGTCAATTATTCAATAAGTATTTTGTAGCCATTGTTAACTCTATGCAAATTTGTTCAGTTCACTAAGAAGTGAATCAATTCACTTTATTAAAATAATACGGTGTGTTTTTTTTATTAAAAAAAATGACCATTCATGTCTGTTTGCACTTTGTACTAATCAGTACCCTTCTTTCTAATTCATACACATGGCTTATGGAACAACCAGCCTAGCTTATATTATTTCATTTATATATTTACAGGTAATGGTATTTTTAAGAGTTAGGTAACCTATAAGCGTCGGTGGCACAGCAGTAGAATGCTTGCCAGCCATGCAGGTGGTCCGGATTTCGATCCCCGGCCGGTTTACTCCTTTACCTTGCTATGCCAGTAATAGGACTAGCAAAGCAGGAAGGTTGGGCATGAGGTTAGCAACCCTATCCCGTAAAAATAATCATCACTCCTACTGAAACTTCAAACCTGTAGGTTGAAGCCCAATGTTCCACTGGGAACGTATATGAATAAAAAAATGTAATCTATACTACTCATATGTACCTAATTCATTTATACTGATAATCAGTGGGTGTCGTCATCATCTATCTCTTTCAAGATAGTTTATTCGTTATTATTTACATTAGAACGAATAATATCTTTATTCTGAACAGTGTTTATATAATTTATTATTGTGTCCTTTAATTCTCAGAGGAACATAGGACTTCAGCCGTGCGTCTTCACTGCGTTCGGTTCTCTGCTAGAGTCTTCACCTGGCTCCAAGTCTGCCCACACGTTTTTTATCTCCTCTTCACATGACCTCCTCCAAGTCACCCTTGCAATGACGACCAACTCGCCGCTTCCCTTTCGGGTTCCACTCGAGCAATGGCTTGTCTCGTGATGTCACTTGATGGTTCCCTCAGAGCATGGTCTATCCATCTCCATTTCCTCCTGCCTATCTGTTTCACAATCGGTTCCTGGTTGGTTCGCTCCCAGAGATCCCTCCTTGTTGCTGATCTTTTCTGGCCGGTCATCTGATCTTGAGTATTGAGCGAAGACAACTGTTAATGAAGGTCTGTAGTTTGTTTGAGATGCTCTTTATGACGCGCAGTGCAAGTCTCTGATCCGTATAGTAGCACTGACTTCACATTGGAGTTGAAAATCCGGATCTTATCTTATTTTTGATGCTGAGTGCTGTTGACCTCCACACAGACCTGAGAGTAGTGAAAGCTTGCCTTGCTTTTCCAATTCTTGCTTTGATATCCTCGTCAGTTCTATCCGCCTGTATTTGAGACGATGCTTCCCAAAGAGATTGTTTATTTCAGGTTCCTCCCATTTATGCTGATCGTTGTCTGTTGTTGTTGTTTTTGGTGTTGCCCAGAAATCTTCATCAACTCTGTTTTATCTATGTTCACCTGAAGTCCTATCTTCTCTGGATGCTTGTTCTGCCGACTTGTTGCTTCTCATTTGCATATCTTCCAGTTTGTGAGAAATCAGACTTATATCATCGGCGAAGTCCAGATCCTCCAAGTTAGATGCAAAA